ATCCCTTCAACAGCAGCCTCTGGCTGGGTTGCCTCCTTGCGGTTCACCGCGGCGGCTGGTAGGTGTTTTTCATCTAAATAATCCGATCTGCAGGCACCAGAATAATAAAAGCGAACATATTCTGTCGGCAGATGTATGCATTTTAAGTTACTTATGCGTTAATAAACTGTTTAAGAGGAGTGATCAGAGCGGTCTGTGTCATCAGCGCTGTGTCTCTCTCCCAGCCAGCTCCGAGATCAGCTTCTCTGATTGGTTGACGCGGTGCGTCGAGCAGCAAAAATTCAATTTTTCCATCTCGAGCAGCAACGCTTTTGCGGCGCGTCACGCGCGTCAGATGCTTAAACGCGCCCGACGCGCTGCTTCAGCTGCTCAGACGCGCTGCGCCTGCTGCTCAAAACGCGCCACGGGACCTTTTGCTGCGCCTTGACGCACGTCAACCATTGACTTTGCATGTAAACTTGCTGCTTCTGTCGCGCCAGCTGCGTCCGGTGTGAACGCAGCATAAGACTAAATTAAAATTAAAAAAGGCTGACGAAATTAACACTGCCTCACACAAAACAAGGTGTCAAGTTTTTACTTGTAATTGCTAAAGTAATACAACATTAACTTTATTGGTGAACCACAAGAAAAGATGCAAGAAAAGCAGAAAGTGAAGAGAGAAAGTCAAGGCTTGAAATAAAGAACAACAAAACATGTCAAAAATAAAAACAATAGTAGAAAGAAGAAGTAAGAATCAAAGTATAAAAAAAGAAAGTCTGATTTATAGATAATTTAAAAGTAGTATTAAGACAAAGCCACATATTAAGATGTGCTTTATGGGATGTTTGTGGGATTCATTTGTGTCTGTTGTTATTAGGCAACAGCAGGAGAGAAACTCCACTATTTTTATTGGACGACAAAAGACTGAATAAAGGTTTATTCCAGCACTCTGCCTTTTGTTCGGAAATGGTACACCTAATAAATTCAAAATGCTTCAAGATAGTAAAATCAAAGAGTGCAATATTTTACTAGTGATTATTTCCGTTTCCTTAAATATCACAAAGTTTTAAAGTGAAAAAATGATGATAAAATCTAAGAAATGAAAACATAACTCTATGAAACGTCAAATTTTCTTCTTGCTGTACAGTCACTTGAGGACTCAAGCCTGGTAAACGTACTATTATTGACTCTGAGATTGGATCTCCATGGTAACAGGCTGGAGGAAGCCTGCAATGGACCGTATCTAGCCTGCATCAGAAGCTCAAAATGCATAGCGCTAGACATAATCAAGCACACACACGGCAACACTAACACAGGAGAGCACACGGGAAAGGAGACTGAAGAAATTGGAGCACTTAAGCAGGAAAGGGACCAACAGGATGACATTTAAATGGATGGAGGTTTTGGTGGAACAAATGAGTTCATTTCTGCTGTTCTTGTTGCAGTTCAGACCTCCCTCTGGATAGAAAACGGAGATCCTGCTGAAATGACAGAGCGATGCCTGTTGAGAATTGTACTCTTCCCTGCTGAATTCCCTATTTCTGTAGGCCCAGGGCACCGACAGATAAAAGCAACAGGAAAACAGAGAGTTTAGTTATACACAATCAGCCCTGCTGCTCCCAATCAGTCAAGATGGTGGCAACACAGCATGACCAGGACCGGAGGCACAGCTCCAGTGAATGTAAAAAACTTGCATCACACATTGGTGATATATATGTGTGTATGTGAGAGTAAAAGTAAAAGAAAAACAAAAAGGAAGAACATACTGAAGGTAACATAAGATAGAATTGAGGGAAAAAATCAAGTTTAAGTCCTCTGTATGTTTTTGCAAAGCCTTACCAGCAGAAAATACAAGCATATCAGGACCTAAAATATAAATAATTCTGATAATCAACTTTTTATAGTGGATTAAATTAAATTGCCTGCTCAATCAAATCTGATAAAAAATAATGAGTTATGTATGGATCATTAGCGCACTTACACAAAGTCTAGCTGATGATACCTAGGCTCCTAACGAATAGTGTTGCTTCTATAGTACACAGCTCTAATATAAACTTCTGCAGAGGCTGTCAAATGGCTCTGAAATTGCATATTTACCAGGATCAGTAACTGAAACACGAGTTCTGAAGATGTTGCATTGTTTAAAACTTACAGGGCTAAAATCTATTTATTTTCTATGTTAAATTAGCTCTTTGGGGACTTACTGTATGAATACTGCAAGTTCGGTTTTTTAAGTGATTCATTGGAGCCAACCTTTCATTTACTTGTAATTATATCTAAGTAACTATAAAATATGCCCCAACTTACCATTGATTTGCTTTAAAAAATGCATTTTGTCACGCTTTGTTCCCTGACGGGGGATTTCTAGGTGAAAAAAATGAACTTTAAACATTTTTTAATAGGCAGGTTATCATTTTAGATCACTTGTATATCCCTTACAAATGTAGTTGATGATGTTGATGAAGTTATAAACATGTGGGTATATTTCTTATGTTTAAACTGTTTTTTTTTTCTCCATAAACTACAAATATTTTCCCCCAATTACAGCTGCTGTCCAGCATTTCGTGCTGATGTTCAGACAGTTTTCACTTCATTGCTTTGCTGCTTCATTGCTGAAAAAAGCACAACTTAATGTAAAAAAAATTTATCGACATCTTAAAAATTTTACATTTAGGTTATTTTCACTAATATCTCAACGCCTCTCCTTGGTCTATTAAAACTCAGCGAATCACTTTCACCCAATTATTTGAGCCGCGTCACTGATGCATTCAGAGTGAAAATTGATTCTTTGCACTTCCACTAAAGTACAAACATAGTGATTTTAAGTAAACTTACGAAATTACTTCTGACATCTTTTTCTCTTACCCACATCTTGTACAGTATATACTTTATAGGTTAACAGGAAAATGGAATGGAAATAGACAAACCTGTTTTTGTTTTCTAATTTCTAATCTACACTACCATTCAAAAGTTTGGGGTCACATTGAAATGTCCTTATTTTTTAAGGAAAAGCACTGTACTTTTCAATGAAGATAACTTTAAACTAGTCTTAACTTTAAAGAAATACACTCTTTACATTACTAATGTGGTAAATGACTATTCTAGCTCCAAAAGGTTTTTTGGTACAATATCTACATAGGTGTATAGAGGTTAAATTTCCAGCAACTATCACTCCAGTGTTCTAATGGTACAATGTGCTTGCTCATTGGCTCAGAAGGCTAATTGATGATTAGAAAACCCTTGTGCAATCATGTTCACACATCTGAAAACAGTTTAGCTCGTTACAGAAGCTACAAAACTGACCTTCCTTAGAGCAGATTGAGTTTCTGGAGCATCACATTTGTGGGGTCAATTAAACACTCAAAATAGCCAGAAAAAGAGAACTTTCATCTGAAACTCGACAGTCTATTCTTTTTCTTAGGAATGAAGGCTATTCCATGCGAGAAATTGCTAAGAAATTGAAGACTTCCTACAATGGTGTGTACTACTCCCTTCAGAGGACAGCACAAACAGGCTCTAACCAGAGTAGAAAAAGAAGTGGGAGGCCGCGCTGCACAACTGAGCAAGAAGATAAATACATTAGAGTCTCTAGTTTGAGAAATAGACGCCTCACAGGTCCCCAACTGGCATCTTCACAAAATAGTACCCGCAAAACACCAGTGTCAACATCTACAGTGAAGAGGCGGCTGCGTGATTCTGGGCTTCAGGGCAGAGTGGCAAAGAAAAAGCAATATCTGAGACTGGCCGATAAAAGAAAAAGATTAAGATGGGCAAAAGAACACAGACATTGGACAGAGGAAGACTGGAAAAAAGTGTTGTGGACGGATGAATCCAAGTTTGAGGTGTTTGGATCACAAAGAACGTTTGTGAGACGCAGAAAAAATGAAAAGATGCTGGAAGAATGCCTGGTGCCATCTGTTAAGCATGGTGGAGGTAATGTGATGGTCTGGGGCTGCTTTGGTGCTGGAAAGGTGGGAGATTTGAGCTGTTGTGGGAGCAGCTTGACTGTATGGTACGCAAGAAGTGCCCATCCAACCAATCCAACTGGTGGGAGCTGCTTCTGGAAGGGTGGGGTGCAATTTCTCCAGATTACCTCAACAAATTAACAGCTAGAATGCCAAAGGTCTGCAATGCTGTAATTGCTGCAAATGGAGGATTCTTTGACAAAAGCAAAGTTTGATGTAAAAACAATCTTATTTCAAAAACAAGTCATTATTTCTAACCTTGTCAATGTCTTGATTCAATTTTCTATTCATTTCACAACATATGGTGGTAAATAAGTGTGACTTTTCAGGAAAACCCCAAACTTTTGAAGGTAGTGTATATCAGTTCTAATTTATGTCAGTTTAAGCAACATTTTTCTATCGGTCGTTGGAAGGAAACAAATAATAAAAAAAAAGAGTTCTGAATGAATATTATCAAAACAAAGGCACAATGGGCTTTCCTCTGTGCAACCTTGTACTAATCATGTCAGCCATGTTTCTATTTGACCTCCAGGTAGAGAACAGTCCCCTTTACCGCCCTCTTCTCACATGGGATTTCAGTCATTTCCATAAAACAGAAATTCCCCTCATGGAAAAGCAAACCATCTGGACGCAGGTGTTCTCTTTAAATCCATTCTATTATCTCTGAGGGCTTTCCTATATTTATTTCTCCTCCCCCTCTCATTTTCTTGCTCTCTCCCTCCCGTTTTCTCCCTTCAAATACCCTCATTAAACTTCTGTCTCAGTCTTGTGTTTTCCACTTTCTTTAAACATGTTCCTACTTTCCTGTGCCACATAATTATCGGCATCCACCCCATTTTTTCCTGTTCTTTAACTTCTCTTCACCACCTTGTATCTGGAGCTTCTTTATCGATTTTTCTGTGCATATTTCTTTTTTTAAACTCATTTTCCAACCACCTTGCTCTGCTCCCAATTATTTACTACTCCTCCATCATGTACGCCTTTTTATTCCCATCTTTTTGTTTTCCTGGTGCCGAGTAACAAAATAAAAAGGAAGTTTGCTTGTTGCAGCGTTACCTTTTTCACACGTAGCTCCACCGTAGCTGGGCAGACAAAGACACACAAAGGAGTTGATCTCATCGATGCAGGTTCCGCCGTTCTGGCAAGGGTTAGACTGGCAGTCGTCAATATCTGCAGGGAACATTGAGAGAAAAACAGGGGGTGAGTCATAGTAGACAGAACCACAGATGTACCTTGAAAAGTGTTTGTACTCCTTGAATTATTTCAAATTATGTTTCATTAAAACTGCAATTTTTATTACACTTTGACAGGATTTTAAGTGACAGAGGAACCCAAACTGGAAGATGCAGAGGAAAGAAATTGATACATGTTATTTAATCATTTTATAGATACCTCAGTTGAGACAATAATTGTTGAACTTTATTTTTGGTGCTAGAGCTGTGAGTTTCTAGTGACAGAAATATACTCCCAATGCCGTTTACAAAACAAGTCAGACTGGACGCAGATGTACCATGTTTCTGCAGAAAGGAAACTGAACTGAATTCTGGTCTGGACTTTTCCATTTTAACAGGTGAATCTCTACCCCTGTTTTAAGTCTTTAGCAGGATCTAATGAGTCTGTTACCAGGATTTTACTGCATATTTTAGTCTGCACATCTACTGATCAACTCCAACCAGCTTCCCCTGCTAAAACAAAAAGTTCACAGCATGATGGCCACAGTGACCTGTTTTACAGCATGTTTAAGGGCAGATGGTTGCCTTATAGTATGTGAGATCAAATGGATGGGACACTCTCCAGATTATTATCTAAAAAATATCTAAATAATTATCTAATAACTAAATAATCAATTATCTAATTCTTTATTTGCCTGTAAGATACATTAAAAAGGCATTGCAGAGTTTTCCAATAATGCTGCCACCTGTGGCTAAAACACAGAACTGCAGTTATCTTCTGCACGTTCTCGTAGCTCTCATTTCACGTAGCAAGTTTTTTTTTTTTTTGCTTCCTTCACTATACCTACAGCTGTTTTCAGCATTCACAAAATCCAACTTGAATATAACGCTTCATTTGTTTGCTAGATCTGATTCTTTTACCACGGACGCTCTCGACGTCACATCCGGCAAATAGTAGGAGTGGAAACTCCCCCACGCCCCCCCCCCCCCATTAAAACATTTAGGAATAGGCTACAGGTTTATAGATGAATCAGCGTTAACGCCTGTGTTATCAGTCTGATCATCAAACAATGTTTTAGTCATGAAGGGTCAAATAAGTAAAAACTTGCAAAATGTCTGTTTAATATCTGTGGTTTTAATTTGACAACATGTATGAAAGTTCAAGGCAATGGAACACTTCTTCATGGCATGGAAAATCCCTCTCTAAAAAGCTACCTATTAAGCTAGCCGCCATCACTCCAACCTGAGCATTTGGTCAGATAAGATGGATTTTTTGGTGAATCGTATAATTAAATCACATTGATTGATTATTGTGGGGATGCAGTGGAGGACATGATGATAATTGCTATGTCTTTCCAGAACGTGCAGTAACACAGTAGTCATGCACACTAAACAAATTAAAACATTGCAGAGATGCAAAACCATCTCTCTTTGGGAGCCTTAGAAAATAAATTCAGATCAATTTTAGACAAACTTGGACACAGACTCAAGAACATGTTTAACAAAGAAAACCCAGTGGTAAGCAATGTCATATTGAAAAATGCCAACTGTATTTCCTTTTTTTCTTTGAGGGGGGTGGGGTGGGTACAATCATTAATGCTGCAGCTGGCAACTTTAACAACCCTCAAGCATCACGAGAGCTGAGAGATTCTCAGAGGCTCTGACAACAGGTCATGGTGGGAGGCAGGAGAAAGTCTGAAGGCTGAGGGAAGATATGGAAATGTAAGGATGCTGTGAAAGACAAGGGTTAGGAGGCTGAGGGATGGAGGCAACAGTGGGTGTGAAAGACGGTGGAGAAGTAAAACCATTAAGTTGTTGATAATTTTTTTGGGAGGTGCATTACAGCAGCTTTGCAGGCAGTCTGGTGCAAACAGCATGACAGCTTTACTGCTGTTGCTCCTCTCAGGGCTAGCTGTTCTCAAAGGCTAAATTTGACGCAGAAAAAGACATCCAGCCAGAGGAATTGAAACAGTTTAATAACTGCTTGGAAATCTGTGTATAATGAGTGGTATGACTTAAAGGGGAACACCGTTTTTTTTTTTTTTTTTTTACATCGGGCCCTTGATTTTACTTTATTACATCATGTTCTACTCACCCATATGAGTTTTGTGTCATTTGGAGCTGTACTAAAGATATTCTGTTGGGAAATATCCAAGTAGCTTCTTCCTATGGGCAAGTGACTTAAATAAGTAAAATTGTTTATCATTTATTCTTTATGGTACGCCAGCATTCATAACATGTAGACGAATCACTGTCCCCCAGACATCCACGGTTATATTTTTTATATTTATATCTTTTACAAAACTCATATCGGTGAGTAGAACCTGATGTAAAAATGTAAAATCAAGGGCCCAATATAACAAAAACGGCATTCCCCTTTAACCAGACAAGACAGAAAGGAAAGAAAAACTTAATTTGCCAAAGAAATGAGCTTTCCATAATGTATCAGACAATCTTGCAAATCGTTTCATTTTATGTGCAAACTACAGGGTTCGGTATTAGTCAGTGACAATCATGTTTTATCTTCTAGTTGTACTCATTTAACCCTTTCATATTTTTTCATATTACAGCCCCAGAACGAGGTGCCTGTTTGGGTAATTTCTGTGTGATTGTAACTCTGTTTATGTAGGATGTGGGGCCTTTATTCAAAAACCAAATCTGTAATGAGCTCCACCTGCCTTCCTATTTCTATGTACTCCCTATATATGCTTTGAAAGCTGACCTTGTTTGCTAAAAAGCCTCCCTACAGCATGAAGCTACCAGAATCATTAAACCATCAGCGGTTGTATTCAGGGCGATGTATAGTCATAGTTTCCCCAATACACCGCGTTTTGCATTTAGACCTGTTTAGTCTCATCTGATCAGAGCATCTTCTTTTATCTGATATGCTGAAAAATATGTCCTCTGGAATTGTAAATGTACAATCAGTTTTATAGCTTCCGTTTCACAAAGTCACATCAGCAGGTTCTTCCACCCAACAGTTACTGGAAAACACTGATGGTATTCATTACTATAGACTAACCGGTTAGGTTACTGCAGAAACATAAAATAAAACAATACAATTATTATAATGTTCTATAAAAAGCTCATCTTAAATAAACCCATGTCACATTCACCTACAAACCCTTCCAAGTTAGGCAACATCAGCATTAAACTGTATACTTGTTTTGTTTTTTTTATAAATAAATGCAATAGATTTTTTTAATTATTTAAAAGCTTTCTACAGTTAAGAGCAGTTAGTGCTTGTTAAGATACCTTATTTTCACTAATTTTTTATGAGCAAACTTGTAGAGAGAAGTAAACATGGAGACCCACACAGAGCCCTCTCTCCAAGATTAAATAGGACTACATTCACCGATGAAAGACAGTAGCAACCTGAGAAACCTTCAGTGCAGGAGAGGCGCACTGCTACTGAACAGTTTCTGCTGGAAAAGTAGCAGGGAGAACAGTCCAGCTGTGGGTTTGTTAGTGCAGCAGAGACAAGAACAGCAATGTGATGCTGATACATCAATAATGTGTCTTTATGTCACAGGTACAAACAGAAAAGCAGATCATATGTTTTAAATTTTCAGCTCAACATTCATAAAAGAACATTATATAATGCTATCTTCAAACAATTATTGACCTTATCTAGAGGTTGCATTAGATTTGGAAGTCGGCAGCCTCTTGCTTTGAAACAAAGCAGGTAACCTCCGTGCACTGATGCCGCCACTTGGCCTTACTCTTGTTCCCAACTGCTCCACTTTGATATCAGAGAGCTACAATAATTATCTCTGCAGAACTATTTAGCAGCTCTAAACTTTAATTTAACGTGCATATAAGGACTCATATTTAAACGTACTCATCCTTGTAGTGACAAACATCGGGCTGACACAATGACTTTAAGTTAATTCTGTCATTGGTTCATTGTGCACAACAACCAGCTTTGTACACTATCCTCTATCTGCACAAAGCTAGTTTTACTTAAAAAGCTCCATGCAAAGCCCTTGTATGTTTACATTGTTATCTTCCTTGCATTTTATTCTTTTGTTTTGATGTGACACTGAGCTGTTTTGCATATGTCCTATTTTTCTATTTGCAACACTGAGCATATTTTTTTCCAGCAACTGATGAAAAGAAGCGTCAAACTGGGAGACATTTGATGTTTTTCTTATCTTTACTTTAAAATAAAAATAACTACAGCTCCCTCTTAAGTGATTCTTAGTCAAGTTTAAAAAAACAACTAAAAACTCATATATATGTACTTTTAAAGAAAACGCATTTTGTCTTTGCAAAATGTCTTCCATTTTGTTTGGGTCCTCTTGTGGAAAAACTCATCAGTGGAAGAGAAACGAAAGGTTTGAGCTCAAATTTAATATTCAAACAAATATCAGATTGACAGCAACATTTAAAAAAAATGTTGCTGCGTTGCTTTATGTATTTACCTTTTCTTCTACACAGATTCATTATGCTAATATGAATATGAACAGACAGAAGCCAAGGTTGGAGGGGAAGCAAAGATCTCATTATGTGTTCAATTCTTTCAAAACAAACATCAGTAGGTGGCAGCCATGGATAAATGAATCCCTGACAGAGCACAAAAGCACTTTTTTTTTTTATAACGAGACTAAAATGCCAGCAGAAGCGACAGATCAAACAGCCCACTGATCAATTACACAGAGAACCTTTGAACCAGTAAATGCCACCCAAAGTCTTCACGTCTAACACGGTGCTACAGAGGTCATGAGGGGATGGTATTAATATCAAAGAGGAAGACTTTTTATTTTGCTGGGGAACCCAGAGGAAAATTTGCATTTATCAGAAGAAACAGAGCAAGGCTCCATCTCTATGCCAAAAACCTCAGTCTGGAATCCATCTCAGAATGATACTGCATACCAGTGCAAGCGTCTGCTCCCCTAAAAGTCTGACAAATCTACTCAGCCTCTCAGCGTTCCACTAATTGCAGCCGAACCACAGCTGGCATTATGTAAAAATAAACTGACATAACATGGTGTAAAA